ACTCACTTAAAAAGCTTCTTTTTTCAACAGATGCAGATTATTATAGTGTTCCACAATTGATCAAATGAAGAGAATAAGTGTCTTTAAGATGTCCAGCCCTAAATGACACATCTACAATGCAGCCTCTATACCTAAAGCTCAGGGAACATAGTGGAACAGGAAACAGAAAGAATATTTAATGCATCTCTCAACTCTCACAAGCAAAGCTTCCTCATCCAACAGATGGTGGCTAACCTAGAAATCCTCAACTGGCTAAAGTGCAGAGAATAGGAGACCAGAGTGCTTGTCCCTGGGGAAGACACCCATAGGAAACCTCTGTCATCCAGGGCTCAGGGACCATTGCAGAAGAAGGGGCGGAAAGACTTGTCTCTCCTTGTAAGAGACAAGGGTGGTGGATGATCACAAGGAAAGAGTTTTCCAGGCAATTGGGAATTTGCTCACATGAATTTCAGCTATGGTGACAGCATGTACAAGACCCATGCACGCTCACACCAGACAAAAGTTCAACGTAGAACTGGGGAAGTGGGTAAGAAGCCCTAACCTTAGTTGAGGAACTATTGGCAACTGATGAATACGGGAGACGGAGAGTTGGTTTTCTTTAAGGGAGTCATGGTAGATAGGTAGACCAGGCTGCAGTGGATGGGCTCACACCAAAGTACATTTTGGGACACAAACTTGGCTTGATAGGCCCTAACATGTGCAACAGAATGCACAAAATTTGTTTGAATGGCTATGAAGGGGTGCAGATAAGGGTGGGGGGGTCTAAATATGATCAAGATGTATTATATGAAATTCACAGATTCAATAAAAAAATTTCAAAAACATTCAATAAAACATTTCAAAATAAAAAGATTACCTAGCCAGTTCCAGGAAAATCCAAACAAAGCAACAATATATGAATATAGATTTCATTCATAAATACCAAGGACAAAGTTCTCTGCAATGACTCCATGATTAATCTGCTGCATCTTCTTTCCATCTATGCCTTTTTAAATATTTAAATGACATTTGGGGAATCCAGGAAGTAACTGCAACTGAACAGGAAATTCGATGGATATTTTACAGTTCTTTGCTTGCTGTGTTCTGCAAAGCACTCTGCACAGTATCCTCTTTCCAATGTCTCTGGTGTTCTAGGCTCCCTGGTCGTTCTCCTCTTCTCTGATCACCCCTCTTTGTTGCTTCCTCTGCCTGGCTTGTCCAGGTCTGAGTTCCATTCCTTCCCTCCCTTAAAGTGGGACCTTTAAGGGGCAGAGCCTACTCAGAAGAGGCTAGGTCATTGGAATTAAACCTGGAAAGAGACACTGGGATGCAGGTCTCTTCCTCTCTCACTTCTTGGTCTATCATGAAGCAGCTTCTCCCTGGCCTATTCTCTTCCCACTTCCTGCACCACCTCATCTCTTCCATGGATTCAGGAACTGTGTGGCTATCTGCATTCATGTGACTCTTCCATGTAGCACGCTCCCAACCCACGCCAACTGCAGCTCTTCATGGAACTCCATGTCTTGTTATGCCTGGCTGATCCCGTTAGAACCCTAGACTTGATCTTTTTCTATGCAACTAAACATCAGATGGTTTGCAATCTACCAACCAACCTTAGACCCAAGCAGCCTTCTTGCCTTCTTGCTAGCCATTCGTAATGTTCTTCAAGCTATCAAATCCTGTTCACGCTAGGCAAAAGAGTTATCTTTAAAAGTGAAGTTGTCCATAAACAAGATTACATTTTCATCATCGCAGTAATTCAGATTTGTAAAATATAAGTTAATTTTTGTTAAACTAGATTTAAGCCCTATTTCTTAGTGTATATTTCTATTTTCTAGCATTTAAAATATGTGGTGTGTGTGTGTGTGTGTGTGTGTGTGTGTGTGTATGTGTGTCTGGCATGTGGAGGCCATATATCAACCTCAGGTGTCTTCCTTGATCACTCTTCACCTCTGGACTGAGGCGGAATCTCATGCTGAACATAAAGCTCGCCAATTTGGCTAGTTAACCTAGCCAGCTAGCCCTGGGCATCCTTCTCAGCCTCCTGAGTACTTGGATTACAGGCAGGCTGCCACACCAACCCAACCTTTGAACAGGGTGCTGGGGATCCTGACTCCAGGCCTCATGTTGCACAGCAAGCATTTTACCCATGGAACTATCTCCCTAGCTCTCTAGTATTATTTTTAAACAAATCCTCCTCAACTTAGTTGCTTTCAATTGTCTTACTAGCTGAGTAAACTTCATTATTTTATGTTTCTGATCTTCCCTTCTGCTGACTGAAGTCACATCAAAATTGGGGGTGAGGATGGCACACCAGCAGCTTTCTGGCATTAATCCATTTACTCTGTACCCAGTTACCAGTGTCTGCTGAGTCTCATTTATCTCTTGTCTGTGGTATCAAAGGCTTCTCCCAATATCCTTTCTTACTCCTGGGTTCTGTGCTGTCAAGTCTACTCAGATCCCTGTTTCCGGCCTCTTTTAGCTCTTCCTTGGGCACCTTCTTAGCTCCTATTGTGTGTGTAAAACAACTACGTTTCCCAATTTAGCTTTAAAGCAATGTTATAAAATACATGTTCTCCCTACATGTATAAGGAATAAAAGCCTCCAAACTGAGGCTTAAAAAAGTTTCTGAGTTACAATCATTTTCTGATATTCTTAGGTCCAGGGGCTGGAGAGACAGCTTAGTGATTAAGAACATTTCCTGTTCTTCCAGAGGACCTGAGTTTGGTTCCCAACACCCACGTTAGGCAGCACACAACCATCTTTAACTAAAGCTCCAGGGGATCTGATGCCCTTTTCTGGCCTTTTTGGGCATCTGCATATACATTGCATACATTCACACACACACACACACACACACACACACAAACAAATAAAAATAAATCTAAAACAAACACTGGCAGATTGACGAATAAAGTGAACAATTGTGATTTTCGATCCCATTCTGCTTTTTCAGGTCCACCAACCTTCCCTAGAAGAGCAAAGGAGGATGCTAGACAAGCACATCAGCTGCCTCTATCCTGCTCCAGGACTCTGTCTTCTACCTCCACCTTTCCTTCTGTGCAGTGGACTGGCATGAGGTACTAACCCAGGGGCCCCTTCCCTTGAGTTCCCACATCACCTGAATCCTACTGCCCAACATACCACATATGCAACCTTGAGGCAATCTACTGCCACTTGCCCTCCCTGGCCTTCAGGCACAGGTCCTGAGTAGCTACCAACCTACTAGGCTTTGACTTGTTGAATTTCATTCTTCTTATAGTAAGATGTTCTGGCCAAGGCCAGAAAGCAGGAGAGCAGGAGTATCTGAGAGCCACTGTGTACACAGCTGTTTTTGTTAAGCTTTACCACAAACTTGACTTTAAACAAAGTGGAATGGCAACTCATAGGAACTTGGAGATACTGTCCCTTTCCCGAAGGCCAAGCAAACAGCACCCTCACTTTAGAATTTCTTACTTCAGAGATTTCTTTGGCAAGGAAAAAATCAGAAGTTACATGAGGTCAGTGACTTTTCTGATCTTTGCCTGGAGCCACGCATTACAGAAATGTAGACTAGAGAGCAAGGGCTTTGGAGAAAGTGAAGAAAAATGAAAGCAGATTCTTCCAGAAGAATCTTGCAGTCAGTAGAGCCCAGTGGGTTGGGACTCCTGAGACTTTCAGTGCAGCCCCTGGGGAGGCTGTGGGGAAGAGGCTTCCTGTAGCATGGGTGAGCAAGGTTGAGACTTCACATCCTCTGGTTCCCAATCCTGCTGCTGCCACTGTGGGGGTTGTACAGGTCAGCAGGGATCATATCATAGGTGTCCAGACAGCAACTTTGTGGACAAATGACTGGTATGTGCTATGCCTGATCCTGGAAGACCCTAGGGCCTTTGCATATTCCTAGGGAAATGAGGGCAGATAAATCCTGAGATGGGGCAGAGTGTGACTAGAGATGATGCTGGTGAGGGTGTAGACAAATGGGAACCCTTATATATTGCTGATAAGCATGTATAGTCCAGCTACTATGTAAATCAGTATGAAGGTCTCTCAAAAAGTCCAAACTAGATCTATTATAGAACCCAGCTTCTGGGTATTTACCTAAAGGACTCTAAGTCAGTGTATCACAGAGCTACTGCATATCACGAAGCACTATTCACAACAGCTAAGTTATGGACCCAAACTCTGTGTCCAACAGCAGAGGAGTGGATAAAGAAAATGTGGTACATAAACACAATGGAATTTTTTCATTCATAAAGAATGAAGTCATATCATCCACAGGAAAATGGAAGTAGCTGGAGATAATTACATTAAGAGAATTAAACCAGTCTCAGAAAGACCAATAGTATATGCTTTCTCTTATTTTTGGTTCCTAGATTTCATATAAACATATAAAATCACATGGTGTATATATGACATAAAAGTATAAATGAAACTGTCTAGGGTACAAAAGGGGACTAGCAGGAGGAGGCAGTGATGAGATGGGGGTGGGGTGGGGACTGTGGAGAAATATGTTCAGCACACAATACATACTTGTATGAAGTTGTTCTATTCCACAGTGCTACATACAGTCAATAAGCACAAAGAAAGTAAAAGGAAAAGAGAAAATACAACACTGACATTTCCTGTGCATCTGGGTCTGCCTATCTGAACAGAGATGAGCAGGCTCCACACTATATTCCAGGATGCAGATGCTGATCCAAGAAATAGGGGTATTTCATGTGTTTGCTTTCTCTTGTAATCCTGCATCCTAGAGCTCTGCTCTGAGCTTCTCTTCTGGTGTCATAGGCCAGGTTTAGGTGACATTGAATGAAAGGGAGGAAACACAGTGGAAAAACCCCAGGAGAATAATGTTGGAGATGGAAGAGGTGGCTAGAACATTCTGGAAATATAAGCGTCTGTTTATAAGAAATGGAACAAAACAAAGCTTTCCCTTTCCTGAGACAGACCAGTCACTTTAGGTTTGTCACAGAATACAGGCAAGAGGCTAAGAAAGGCTCTGGCATGTGGTGCCCTGTGGGCAGCTCTAGCTCTACTGATTTTACCTGAGAGGTGTTGCTGAGAAGAAACCCGCCTGTTAATTGGCTTATAAGGACAGACTCCGAGATAAAGTGGCTTCAGTTGCTGGGACAAAATCATTTCATTCAATTTTTTCTGTAGAATGAAATATTCTTCAGATAACTTGGATATCTAAAAAGAAGGCCATAGGTCAGATTAAATCAGAGACAAGAGTTCCGAGGGCTCCACAGGTATACTGGAGGGAGGTCAGTCCTTATTGGTACTGCTTGGGACTGTTCCAGTTCTTCTCCAAGATCTACCCTGTCCCGGGGTCTAGTGAGGTTTTACATAACCTGTGGCTTTAGACACTTGTTCCTTCACATTTTTCGTTAGCAACTACAAACCTGAGGTGCTACAGGGAGCATCAGTCCTGGTCAAGTTTTTTTTAAGCCTTTCCTGAGGCTTTTAAAATCTGATTTCTATACTTACTGTGTTGCTGTGACGGTCTCTCTGCTTCTATCTGAAGAGGCCCCTGCTGACCTTTGGCTGTATTGAGTCTTCCTAGATCTCTGAGTCTTCTTGACCTGACTGTAAGCCACTTTCTGATGGGTTCCACCTCGACTCTCTCCCCCACTCCCACCCTCCCACCCCTACCATCCATCTCCTCCACATTTTGTCCCCATCAACCTGGCTCTCTTGATAGGGTGAGTATGGGGTTCATGATTTTCCGCCTCTAGCTTTATGCGTGTGGGAGTGTTGAATCCACATCTATGGTGTTACTAACCAGCTCTGCATGATGAACTGGTAAATTTAGGTGTCTTCAGCATTTCAGTTGCATATCAACCTTGGGTTTCCAATCCCTGGTTTGACCTTCAGTGAGCAAATTTATGCAACAGAGAAAAGAGCTGCATGCATGTGAGATTTAAAAATGGTGCAGCAAGGGTCTGGGGAAGCTAATCCATAGCACATCTCCATTGACAGCTAAAGGGCAGAGATGTTTGGGCCAAACCACTAGCATTAAGGCAGAGATCAAGGAAGATATTTTGCTTTCTCAGGGCTCAGCTCCCAAAAGGGACAAAACTCAGTTTAACGGCTCAGAGACATTAGATAGCCCTGCTCTGACTACCCCATTGTAGGACTTCCATTATTTACCACACCACTGACCACTCTGGTAATTCCTGTATTTCAGAGGTCATCTAGTTAGCATCTTTCATTTTACACAGGTTGAAGGAAAAATGCTGACACAGAAAGTAATTTTCTTAAGGTCAAACACTTAGAAAGAGAGCAGGAAGTGGCATTAGCAGGTGCTGACTCCTATGGTCCATCCTTGGCTTGTGCTTTTTAAGGTGATGGATACCCATGGGATGATCTAAAGCCCACTCCTTCCTATGTTCCCTTCAAGAAGTCCCAGAGACATACCTATACTCTCCAAAAGGTGTGTGTGTGTGTGCTTTTTCTTTAGTCATCCTTTATTGTCATGAGACTTTCATGTTCATCAAACACGTGCCTCACTTTGACACCTAATTATGCCAAGCAAACTGAAATTTGAGGAAGGCAGAAAGCACATGCTTTAGGCTATTAAAAAACTTAAACTTTTTAAGCAATAACAAATGATATCATATATATGATTTATAATAGCCAACTGAAGCATTTAGCAAGAAACATAAACTAATGTGTAGAGTCCTGGCAGCACCAGGCTTCTAGCTCACCGTGCTTCATTTTTGTCATAGTTTATTGGCATAAATGTATGAAGCTATTTGAATAGCATGGTCCTTAAGAAAATTTATTTAAAATGTCTCACAAACACAAATGAAACAATTTCCTAGTTATTTACTACTTATGTAATTTAGTTATTGGGTAGGTAGCAGAGATTTTTATTAGTAAATGAATTATTTACATACCTGTTTTGAAAAAATTGCCAAATCACATGCTTCTTTTTCTGAAGTTGCTTTTGAGTCTCTGTCATCCATCTTGATGTGTTGGGTTTCCTTATGTTTTGTGGGACAGGAATAGACATGGTGAGTGTTTCTTGCTACTTCTGTTGGCGACACAATAATCTTTTGATTCTTAAAGGAAGGCAGTAGTCTGTCCTTCCTCAATTGCTGTCTTTGATTGAAACCTTGGTATTTTCTCTGAGTGAACACAGCAGCCTTCTCCTCTTCCTGGGCCTGAATCCCTGACCCAGTGTGCTTCTCCTCTGCCACCCCGGGCAGGTGATGACCTCTCTCCTGATTGCACATCTCTGTATTCTGGGTAACCACAGAGGACTTCTTTTCTTTTTCTTTGCTAGTTGTATTTTGATAAACTGGCCTATGGCTAAGACAAGGTTCCAAAGTTTTCCTCCAGTAAAGCTCCTTCTCAGCTATCCACAGTCCTGGGCAGCTGGGCATTTCCCATATTTCCTTCCCTTCTAGACATGTTGCTTTTGATTCTTCACAGTTCCTTTGTTCTGTGTACCACTGATAGTAGCTCTGGATCACAGGGTCCCCTTTCTCATGTTTCCCTGTCTTCCTGCTTTCTTCCAGGTCCTGTGTATACTTCTGCATGGAGCTCACTTCTTCCCAAGGGTCTCCTACAATGAACAGTTCTTGATGAGGCTCTTCTCTGTACACATTACTCACTTTCTTCTGAGTTTGACACCTGTTGTTGCTCTCAACACCATTAGTGGCTTTATTCAAAGCTGTGGAAGTCTTCCCTATGGATGGGCTCCCTTTATTGTTTGGAGATGAAATGTTGGATTCATTAGCAAACACTGCATTTTCTGTCTGTTTCTTCACAAAAGACTCCCTGTGTAAAACATATATGAGATGACGCTAAACTAGAGCTTATTACTTTTGTTACTTGCTACATGCAACATCACTTTGTGAAGAAAGTCAAAAAGAACAAACAAGCCTCACAATAAAAATCAAGTCTCATTAATCAAGTGTTTCTAAAATGTTCTTTTTACTGACAACTGGGATGGCTATTCAAATAAGAAAATCAGTTTCAACTGAGAGAAACAGATGGGCATGAGAAGAACTGTAGTTTTCTTAGACGAGGCACCAAAATTCTACACATGATCAAGCCAGTCAAAAATCCAGCATAGATGGGGGGGGGGAGCTCATGAAGGCCCATCTCCAGCTGGGGAGTTTGGAAGTGAAGGCTGCTGGAACAGAGAAGTGTTCCCTGTTGGGTTGCTTATGCTCCAGTGGATGACCTACATCCACGCACATAAGGACAGCACTGATTGGAGTTATGAAAAGGTGACATGAAGTTGGGAGGGAGATGTGGAGGTCGTGGGGTAAGGGCAGGAATGAGAGGTGATCTGGGAAGAGAAGGGGAGGGAATAGAAAGCCTGGTGTGATCAAAATACCTTGAATACATGTATGGGATTCTCAAAGAATGAATTTTAATGGACTTTTTTGGCATTTCATACATCTTGATCATATTAACCCCCCCATCTCTACCTCCTCATAGCTGACCCCACCAGTTTTCATGCATTCTTTCATATATGCTAATGAATTTTAAAATTTCAAAACAGTTCTAGAGAGAGGGATAATAGGATACAAGGGCTGTGAAGGGGGAAAGGAGAAAACGAGGAGGGTTGACTAACAAGAAGGGGGAGGAATGATAATTCAGATGGGAGGGAGAAAGGAGAGGTAAATAACACTGTGTGTTTGAAAAGCCATAGAGGAACATATTACTTTATAAGCTTATTTAAAATTTATGTATAGTCAAAATGTATATATACTTAAATGTTATACCACAGGGTGACAATGCTTCCTATACAAGTCGTAGACTGCCCAACAAAAACCCCAGTGCTGGGTTTGGAAAACCTTGTTTTGTTTTGAGTTGTTGTTGGTGGGGTGGGGATATTCAAGAGACTCCTAAAAATAATATAGACTATTGCCATTGCCTTTGGTTGCTTCCAAAAACTTGAAGATTAGACTCAATTGCTGACGATGCCCTTTGGTCACAGGACTTGGAGGAATAGAGCTGGAACTGACCTGGAAACCTCTTCCAGCTCTTACAGTGTCAGAAGGTGTTATCCAAGCTGCCAAGGGAGAAACGCAATCAGCAGTCCTACCCAGCAGCTGTAAAACCTGTGAACCACAACAAGGATGGATCCAGCAAGATAATCCCAATGATGTCATATGGCACTTTTGTCTTGGAGATAACCAATAGCTGTCTAATGGGACTTAAGGGCTGCTCAACTGGAGGGAATTCATGCCTTGTACTTTAACCTAGAAGAGAACCTACTACTGCCATTTCCCTAAACCAATATAATTTCTAACTGTATTCTAAATACTTATCCTTACATTCACAGATAAATGTAGCTCTCACCCCTCATTAAAAAAGATGCCTTTTGTGTGAGTGTGGCAAAACCACCTACCAAGACCACTCCTTGAATAGAAAACAGTTTATGGGGCAAACTGCCCGACTGTCTTACAGAAGCAGAGAACAGCAGCTTAGTGGGGGCAGGAAAATGGGTTTTATAGGTTTATTGGAGACCCAAGGGACAGGTCCCTTTACCCTAGAAGAATTTTCCATATTAGGGTAGAACAGGGGATCAGGGGCAAGCATGATGGGGTATGGGGGGTGATCTATGGTTGATGTAAGTAGGCCGGTTTATAGGTATAAGATGTTTTCCTGCCTGTGGTGGTTGGGTCATTAGGGATGAACAAGGAAACTATGGTTTCCTGATAAATAAAAGCCCTTGTGTCAAAAAGTTTCTGAGAAATGTTAAGTTTGAGTTTCTGTTTCCTGGTAGATACTTCCATCACAGAGGCATTGGCCTCTGTGTCCTCTGTGTCACCCTCTTAGGATCCTGCTTGTGACCTAACATTTTGCAGCAGACAGAGTCCATTAAAGAGATCCACAACTGGTTAAACTGCAGAGAGTAAGCGACTGTGGGATGCCCAGCCCCAACTGGTACAGCTACAATGCAGCTCTGACACCTAAGGCTCAGGAAACTTTGCAGCAGAGGACCGTGGAGAGACTGTAGGAGCCAGAGGACCAGGACACCTGCTGCTGGATCGCTGTGTCTTCCAGACATGACAGGGAAGCTGCACTCATGAAATTTCAACATTATGCATGTCTATACAAGACCTGCATAATGACAGAACCAGTTGACATGCCAATGTGGATGGGGAAAACTGCATAAGGTCTCATCTCTAGATGAAGACCTACAGGCAATCCCTCTCCTGCTGAGAGAGGGAGAATCAGTTTTCTCTAGGGATGAGATCCTTGATAGGTTATCCAGTCCCAAGTGATCAACCCTAAACACATGTACATATGAGCAACACTACATGGACTCACTAGGTTTTATATCTACATATCTGTATCTGCATCATCCATATCCACATCCAGATCTAGATCTGTAGCTATCTATTATGGGAATGACTATTTCTGGGAATCACAAATTGAAGTTTTGCAAGTTAATCATATGCTTTGAGATTATTTAGAACTATGTATTCAATCCATTTTCCTACTGTACACTCAGCTTGTCTAAATTTAACTGACCTGTAAGAAAAACAAGGTAATCAATCTTCCGAAGCTTTGGACTGCTGATGTAATTCACCCTTACAAGCTAAGTTGAATGCACAGCTTTGCTCTCATACCATGTACTCTGTTGTGACTCTGTTATACCCCGACTCAGAACAATGTAGGTGTGTGTGAGATGTGGCAATTAGACCTAAGACCACCCCTGAAAGTAGCAATAATGTTGAAAACAATATATCCCACATGTGCCAGAAGCAACACATGGGCCTGGGTTGATGATATCTGTTTGTGGCTTTGTATGTTGCTCTCAGACAGTAGGGTCAGGAAAATAACTTTTTCCTTTATAAGATCTGGGTAAAGATTCCTGGAGATGTAACCCAGTGTGTTGGCACACACCTTTAATCCCAGCCCTTGGGAGGCAGAGGCAGGTAGATCTCTGAAATTGAGGCCAGCCTGGTCTATACAGTGAGCTCCAGGCTAGCGGAGGCTATAGGGAGATTCTATTAAAAAAAAAAAGATTCTTATAGACAAAGTTCCTCATTCCTTCCCCATACCCCAACTGATGTCCAATAAATAGAAGAGGAGACCCCTTGTTCATGATGAGAGAACAGTTTTGAGAGAGATCAGAACTCCTCAGAACAGATCGTGCTCCTTCTTGGTTAAATGACTCCAAGAGGCAGTTTTTATGTAGCATCACTACAATGTATATAGATGTGTGTGTGTGTGTGTTTGTGTGTGTGTATGTAACAATAGTAATCATAGAAGGGGTCATGAAGTTGAGAAAGTGTGTGTGGGGTTCGGGAGGGATTGGAGCGGAGAGGTCAAAGTGGTGCAGGTATTGTATGAAAGTCTAACAAATCTAAATAAAAATTGCAAAAATTCTAGCAATCAGTCTTTTCAAAATATAACCTTTATTGGGTCTGGAGAGAGATATGGCTCAGCAGGTAAGAGCACTGGTTGCTCTTGTAGAGGACCTGGGATCGATTCTCAGCACCCACATGGTGACTAACAACCATCCATAACTCCAGCTCCAGGGGAATCTGACACTTTTCTGACCTCTGTGGGCATTGGGCAACATGGGTGTACTTACATACATGTAGGCAATACACTCATACACATGAAATAATAAAATATTAAAAAATATAACCTTTATAACAGACAGTTCCCACAGTGATGAGATGTTGTATAAAATATAGCTGGTTTTGGAACCAGTAAAGAGTTCACCAGGGTAATGTACTGTGTGTTAATAGGCACCAAACTTATTGATCACAGGAAATATCTTGCAAACTTAAATCAGTGTCTCCTGTATGACTCATGACTGTGTAATATACTGGCCCAAAAGATTTTTTCTTCATCTGAAGACAGGAAGGTGAGGTCTTCTATATATCTTTCAGCCAGCACCAAACCCTCAGAAGAACAACGAAGCCACGAGAAGGATATTTTACAGTTGAGTTATTTCACAATGTGACTTTCTGATAGCTTTTTCTGTTATTGGGGGAGCTTTGGCCCCAAATTTCAACTTGACTCTCTAGCTTATGTGAGACTTTTGGTCTTTTGAAATCTGTTTGTGAGGAAGCACTCTTTGAGACTGAGTCAAACTCAGAAAAATATACAGGGATTCTATTTTTCAAATTCTTTTTTATTTTCGTTAAAAATGTTTTTATTTCTTATTTTATTTTATGTGTATGAGTGTACTGCTGGCATGTATGTAAGTGCACCCATGTCTTGGAATGCCCATGGAGGTCAGAAGAGAGTACTGGATTCTCCTAGAACTGAAGTTATGGATAGTTATTAACCACCATGTGGGTGTTGGGAACCAAACCCAGGTCCTCTGAAAGAGCAACCAGTGCTCTTAACCACCGAGCTCTCTCCAACCCCATCTTTTCTATTTTATGTTTTTAAAAAATTTATTATTTTTATTTTTATGAGTATGAGTGTATTGTCTGCATGTATGTAAGTGCACTCATGTTAGGCAGTGCCTGTGGAGGTCAGAAGAGGGCATCAGATTTCCTGGAACTGGAGTTATGGATGGTTGTTAGCTGCCATGTAGGTGCTGTGAATTGAACCTGGGTCTTCTGAAAGAGCAGCCAGTGCTCTTAGCCAGAGCTCTCACTCCAGTCCCTTCTTTTCTATTTTATGTTTTGAGGCACATTCTTGCTATGAAGCCCAAGCTGGCCTTGGTCTCATCATCCTCCTGTTTCAATCTCTCAAGTGCAGGAGTTGCAGGCATGAGCCACCACATCCCGCCAATTTTTATAGTCCTAACGATCACTTCCTAGGCACCCAGTGGCATGTTCAACTTGTACCAAAGAGAACAGAATCCTAGAAGGATCCATCAGGAAACAAGGAATCACAAACCTCCATCATTTCATTCAGTAGCTATGCCAGTATTCTTAAAGCTTTCATAGCACCCCGATGAGAATATTTATATTTAATCAAAATATAACTGAGGGAAGATAAATATGTAGTCTCTAAATGGCTTTATGCCAGAGAGCTGAAAACACTAAATGCCTTGGCATTTCAAACAAACATTCATGTTTGTTAAATAAAGAAATGAGGTTGGCCTGGGTGATATGGGCGAGTGTAGGTGAAGTGAGGGGAGGGAAGGTAACAGTTGTCCATGAGCTCACTGTGTGTGATGAGGGTAGGTTCTGACTTCCCTAGTATCTAAGGCTGAAGATACCGTTTCAATAAAAGAATGAGTAAAGCTTTGGCTGAGAGCACAGTTCAGCTGAGGGATAGGTGCTCCACAGTTTGGGTCTGCTCTGGGTCTTGCAAATGCTGAGCTAGTTTGTTTCTTTCAATCACCACCATGATGTGGCATAGAAATGACTCACGTTGTCATGAGTGATAGGTGTGAAAATAACACGTGGGCGTGGGGAGGGGAAGGCATCCGCTCTTTCATCCCAGCACTCCTTTGTATATTTTTATAGTAGAGTCACTGTTTTACTAGAAATATATTGATTGGCTATGTGTTTTTTTTTTCCGTGATGCTGTAAGCAATTTGAGGATAAGGACTTTGATTCATTTATCTATGTATTTTGATTACCTAGCACACAGTCTGTTGAATAGATGAATTTAGACAGACCTGTGAATCTGCACTTGAAAATATTCATAGAAAAGCTCAAGAAGAAAAAACAGCTGGAGATTACAGCTTAGGGGACAACAGCATATTGTCTATTATGGCTATGGAGATTTTATTGTGGGTAGCAAGGGCATTATCAAGGGAAACCCAGAACTTGGGTAGAAGTGAGGGGTGGGGCAGCCGTCTGGGAAGCAAAGTATCATCACGAATATAAAATGCCCATGAACTCTCACAGGTGGCTCCTGTGTTCACTGATATTTGATGCATCAGTACCAGGAACTCAGAGAGAAGCAAGAAAGACTGTGAACAGCAGCCTATGGCCTTGAAGCAGCTTGGTCTCCAAATGGTGTCAGAGCACCATTATACCTTTTAGTGTCAAAATTTTTCTTGTAGTCAGTTTCCTGGTCTTGGGTCTGAATGGTTGCCACTGCTGTGTTTTTCAGATTGGCAGTTTCTTTTCCTGTTTTTCTGACTAGATGTCTTCTTGCAGCTGTAACACATAAGGTCTAATTACTGTTCATCACAATAAATAAAAGAACATTACTTAAATGAGTACAAACAAGTAGTTTTGACCCTTGTTGTCATAGAAGAAAATAAAACTAAATATACCAAACAGGTCAAGTTTACTATTTAAAAGTGGGGTTCATTAATAGGACTCTTCTAGGTGTAAGTTACAACAATAGAATCTGTAAACTACAGTAATAGAATCACTAAAACATTTTTTAAAAAATGAAAGTTAAATGATAGACATGAACAGCACTAGGGATAGCATGCTCCTTTGCTTAAAATATTGACCTTTCCATATTTGATATGTTCAGCTCTTCCTGGGAGAAGGTCTTTGTTTTCTAAGTGCAATTTTGGCCAGTTATCTTTGGGGCCATGATAGCATCTGATAATTCCACTCAGGAACGTTACCTCAGAAAAGCAGAACTTTTCAATGACATGGAATATACAAAAAACTTAAACACTCTCACTTTGTATTGGGATATGTTTCATTGCCAAATGTGTTATTAAAATCCTTTTAATTAGAGTTTTATGAATTTCAGAATTGTAGATTGAAGATGAGATCCGAAAGTGTAAAAATTGTACTTGAATGCTTAGGGAGAAACTAACAGCTTAAAATTGCAGAAAAGAAAATGATGGTCCATTACTGGCTGATGGAACTGGGACCAGCACGTGGACCTCCTGACTGCTGACTATGATGCAAATGTTCTTCAGATTGTGACTGCATACATCAGTGAGCCAAAAAATTGATTTAGTGGGCCTAATCTAACATCTAAGAATGAGGTAAAATAGATTAGAATAGAAAGTGTCACAGTGAAAGTAAAATGCTTTGTTGTCAAAAAATTTTGAAAGACACTCTGGCAAGCCATCATGGGCACTATTTAAGTTTATGTATAACTTTGAAGGAAGAATAGAAAGCAAAGCCCCAAATCTATCAATATAGTTTAATAAAAGTATGTTAAGTATTGTCCTGCTATCATTTCCCTAGAATTAATAAAAAGGAATAAATGCCCTTTAACAAAATAAAATTTAATTAACTTGTCAAAAATTATGACAATTGTCCCCTTGGAACAGAACAGGAAAAACCTTACTGTCCAATGAGCTTTAATACTGTAACAGGATTCTCAAGACCTATAAGTGATTCAGTCATTTTCTACATCTACTACCATAGGTCAATTGTGTTTCATTAAGCCTTAATGGTAAACTTAGAAATCAAATTATTTAATTTAAAACAAAACATTCATTCAAATATTAAAAGTGTCAATCAATGAAACTCTCTAATTTAGAATAACATGAGAGTAAACACAAAAGCCACGTGAGAGTTGGAAGTTTGTCCATAAGCAATGCTAGGAGATTTGACTGGTGAGAGCATCAAAACATGTTATGCCTTTTTACACTGCAAGATGGTCTTACTGATTGATTACCTGATTGAATTATTATAGCACTTTCTTTCCTTTTTTGCTGTAATTTTTGGTATCTTCTTGAACCCAAGAATGCTCTAACACAGGCTTGAATCAAAACAAGCTTGTCAATGGCTTCCTTTCGCATTAGATTCAACTGTTCCACGTGATAGTATTTAAGGAACACCTTAAGGGAATTAAAATAAAACACAGTAAGATTAGAGTACATAGACGCAATGTGGTCATGTGCTATGCTTGAAGCACTGACTGTATTTGAAATCTCTTTAGAGTTTTGGAAACTATTGCCTTTTGCTTCTTTTGCCTAGATGTTGCTCAGAATTCTTTAAATTGATTTTTTTTTGTGAATTTCATACAACATATTTTAATCATATTTAGATCTTGTCTTCTATCTGCACCCCTCCAATTTCATGTATTCTATTCTCTCTCTCTCTATATGTATATACATTTATGTATCTACACATATATATGTATATATAAAGGCCTATAGAGTCAAACTTGACACCTATACCAACTTTCTGCCTCCCAAGGCTCAGGAACAATTGTGGAAGAGGGGACAAAAAGATTCTAAGAGCCAGAGGTGATGGATGACCACAAGGAAAGAGAGTTTTCAAGACAATTGGTCTGTTACTCATATGAACTTGCAGCAGTGGTGACAGCAGGAACAAGTCCCATGCAAGCTCAAACCAGACAAAATCCTAGCATAGATTCTGATGCTTAAAGAAAATGTGTCTTTGAGAAGAGGAGGTTATACTAGGCCTCTGTGTAAGCCACTGGATGAGGTAATAGGAATGGGGATACTGAGCTCATTTTAGAAAATATTTAGCATCATGTATTCTAGGTTAAGCTCATTTTTTATGCTTAAAGTTAAAAAGATTATTTTTATTTTATGTGTACGAGTGTATTGCCTACATGTAGTAAGTGTACCCCATGTCATGCAATGCCAGTGGAGATCAGAGGAGGGTGTCAGATCCCCTAGAACTGGAGTTATGAATGTTAGCCACCATGTGGGTACTGGAAACCAAACCTGGGTCCTCTGCAAGAGCAACCAGAGTTCTTAACTGCTGAGCTACCTCTCTAGCCCCTAATGCTTAAACATTTCAAAGAGAATGCTAGTTCTCAAATTAAAAAAATCATACAAATCTACATGCAAATTAAAAAGACTGTTCATTCATCCAATGGTTTGTTCATAAAATGATTCTTAAGATTTACATATATTTATCTGCTGGGAATACAAAGATAGGTAAGGCAGGACACTGTCATGGTGTTGTCATGGGGAAATTAAGGTGGAGAGCGCGCCCCAGCAGAATCAGCAACCTCCTCACTAGATCCGAAGGTCCATTGGGGAAAGGAGGGCTGACGTCAGACCATTCTAAAATCAACACTAACTTTGGCAAGGTAGATCTGAGTTATTCTTCTCATCTAAGGATTTTAGTTTCACATTATCCTTTAAAGAAACAGGTTTTCTCGTTTAATGGACAAATTTATCAATAAATATCACCTCAAAGAGTTTGTTGAATTCATCAAGAAAGTTATTTAAAATCAAATTTTATAGCTGAGTCATAAGATCTGGTAACCTTGACTGTAGAATTCTCTGAGCATTCCATTGAACTTGAGAGCCTGGCACATAGACAAACAGTTCAGTATTATGCATTTGATTGAATTCAGTTTTAATTTCTACAGGATTCTAGATGCTAATATATTTAGTCCATTCTGTTGTTGACAATTCATTTAAAATTCAATGTGTTTAAAAAGGTCATCATTTTTTGCATAGCATTAAAGATGTCCTTATATTAAATACTTTTATCCATGATAATGAGTTGGAAAGGTGAAGTGGAAAAATACAAATAGCTTTAAAATGCTACTTAAATATCACACAGAACTGGCATGGCGGAGGGCCCTTTTACAAGTTAAAACTCCATTGAAGTTGAACATGTGTTAACCATTAATGATGGAATTTTAGTCTTTCAGAATTCACTTTGTGAGCATTTTATAGAAAATGGTGTGAATAAAATGTATATCTTTTGAATACCCTGAATTTTCCTTCACTAAATATTAAAATAAATGTGGATTGCTGAGTCTAAGACATTTAGAAAATCCCTCAAATCCCTCCCCAGGACACACTCCTCTAAATTTCTTTGCAAATGTGAAAGTCTGTTTTGGTCCTATGTGGAGAGCTGAGAGTGGATATTCTTGCATGGTCAGTTTGTGAGTATCCCTTTCCTTTAGCTTGGCCCTTTTCCCATCCTGTTTAAGGATACATACTGTATACCCCTGTCCTGGGACCTTATCCTACTTTAAGATGCTATGAGGTCATATGACAGTCCACTGCACCCTTTCCCCAAACAGCTATCTATCTTGCTTCCACATTCAAGATTGATTATGATGTTTCTTACTTTATTCTCTTAGTATTTAAATAAGGTCCCACAAGCTCTCAAAGCTAAAAAGCTACACACTGTATTCAAATATATAATGAGTCTAGTGATGATGTTAAATATTTTACTCCATTTAAATTTCAAGTTTATAATAAAGGCCAACTGAGAATTTAAAAAACAGAAATAGATTTCTGATTCTATTTGGTAGTGATGAAATAGTTTAAAATATTTCAGTTTGCCCTTAGTACTATCTAAAGTAAAGCATATTTAATAAATTTTTTGGATAAATCTTGAAATCAATTTTTTATACTATTTAGAAGACACCTTCACAAAGATCAAAGGTGTTTAATTTTGATAAAGAAGGAAGCCTTTATGAACTTATAAATACTTTTTGGTCTTTTTGAAACAGGGTCTTCCTGTAGCCTCAGCTGGCCTGGAACTCGCCATGTAGACCAGGTGAGACTTGATCTCACAGAAATCTGCCTGCCTCTGCCTCCTGACTGCTGGGATTAAAGACATGCACAACCACATTTGGCCTTGAATTTATAAATTTATAAATATTCTATAATATAAAAAATCATATTTTTAATGATTTTAAAATGTTACAATTCTTACCAAACCTAACATAACCATTTTCCCCATGAAAATTATATGAAAACATTACTTTTGTTTTTCCAAGAGCCCAGTTATCAAGACCAGCTTTTTCCAAAATGGTAGCGCAGGTGTCTGGGCTCACTGGGGGCTCTTCGCTCCAGTTGTAGCAGAGGACATAATACCTGTGAACAATAAAAACGGCTGGTTGGTTCGCACAACAGTTCGACATCTCAGCAGTGGTGGTCACTTGTTCTGGTGAGGGGATGAGACTCCCCAACTTAGTGCTGGGCTATTTGTGCATCCTCAGAGTAACTGCATAGCAAACCACTTCCCGATGAATAACCACACAGAGAAACCTGTATTTTCACTTTGTGATTGTTTTCCATTTGGTTCTAGTCAACTTCATACACTCTTTAAATACCCATAAGCACATTAAAAACAGGAAGTTTTTTTTCTTTTTTTCTTTGTGTGTGTGTGTGTGTGTGTGTGTGTGTTTGTGGATTACTAGAAAGTAAAGTTTGACACTTATAGAATTTAAGTTACTTTGAATGAGGTCGCACATTTAACATGTGACAGAATTGGGATTCAGACCTGAGTTTGATTCAAAGTGCAAGTCATGCTCACCTACTGCACTGTCCTGCCCTCAGTGAACTCTGCTTAGACCTCCGAGAGCCAACCCACTGTGCACAGCCTCAATGTGAAATGGAGCTGATGTCTGTGGATCTTAGGATAAGGGTTCATTCAGGTAAAAAAAAGACTACAGCAATTTAAGAGGCTGTGAGAACATTAAGTGGTGCTGGTGCCATCCAGTGGGAGGTCTTCAGGCCATCACATTGGAGAGGCTATTGGGACCCCATTATCTCTTCCCTTTCTTCTCTCCTCTTTGCTCCCTGAGGCAATTGGCTTTGTTTCAACATGTGAGTATGATGTTCCACCCAAGCCCAATGGGGCCAACCAATCATGGTTACTCTTAAACTGCAGCATAAACCTTTGCTCTTTATCAGTTGGTCTCTTCAGATTATAGGTTATGGTTGATGGAAAGCTGATTAATCATTTATTGTCTTGTGCAAAGAAAGTTCACACTGGGTATCATCCCTTAAGATTGTTTCCTTGTCACGAAACAGAAAAGTCTGTGTATAAACTGAGGAAAAGGTGTGGAGAACTATGCACCCTATGAGGGTTAGTCAATGCTCTGGCAGTACAGAGAGGACCTACAGGAGACTTTTGCAAATTGTTAACAGTCTATGCCAACTTGGACGATAGCTTTCAAAGCCTTTTATTCCTGGAGCCTCCCATCATTTAGAACAGCCATTCATTTTTTACTGTGTACTTAGCTTTCCCCACTTCTTCCTCATCACGCAGTACTTTGCTCTTCTAGAGAAGCATAGGATTTTGAAATATATGTAAGGATAATTTTCACTTCTCAGCTTCCAAATAAACAACTTACTTGCAACTACATCATCCACCCAACAGATTTAGTTTTCCTTATGGACCATACTGTAAAACTAAGGTTATTTTGAAAGCATAAATAAAGCAAGTTAGCGAGGAAGGCAAGGCTAACCCAACTGCGAGTCTCATCTCCTCTACTGTGACTTTACTGATGTCTACTCTGTCAATCCAGTTTAATCCAAGTCTTGTTAGAGTTTTTGCACCTGGATCTATTGGAACCCCAACCCCTCCTTTTTCCTCTTTTTATTCCCTGGTTCCTGTGAGGTAAGTGGCTTTGCTTGAACAGGAGAACATGATGAATCACAGGTCTAAAACACTCCTTCCTGTCTTCCTTACAAACTATATCCTCTGTCAGGTCCCAGTTTGGGGTTCTGATCTTGACACTCTAATTGGGCAATGCTCTTTCCCTCCCTGACCATGTACATGGCTATCTTCAATTTGTCATTTACTACTTTGCATGCTTGTTAAATTCCTATGTCTTTCTCCACAGTTCTTAGCAGACTGGCTTAACATACACACATAGCTACTGAAATTTAAGGATACCTATGTTAATATTACATTAATAACATTTATATTAATGTTTAAGAAAGGTCTGCTTTCCTCATGGAACGTGAAATGCATGATAATAAAAGTGAATTTTAATTTTAGTTTTAAACTTGAAATCCCTTCATAGCTAATATTTTTAGGTTAAATATTTTTATGAACAGAATTTAGTATTTACCCACGAGCCGATTAAAAATTTCAATATTGAGCTGAAGCGGTGGCTTAACTAAGAGTGCATCTTGCTCTTCCAGGGACCCAAGTGCAGTTCCCAGTACCCATGCTGGGTGGCTTACAACTGCCTGCAACTCAGCTCCAGGGCATCTGAGGCCCTCTTCTGGCCTCCCCAGGCACTATACTTATGTGCACATATCCCCACACATATACACATAATTAAAAATGAAAAATAAAATCTTTTAAAATTTCAATAGTTATTATTTCTTAGTTTACATGCAAATTTGGGTCTGATCTATAGAAAGTAAAGCCAATTCAATTCTATTTCTGAACTCCAAAACTTAAAAGTCTTAAAATCGGTCTTAAACTTCAAAAAAAATTCTCTAACATAAAAGCCAGGATATCAATGTATTTTTTTAAGACAGGATCTCTCTGTAGCACCAGCTAGTCTGCAACTTGCTATGTAAGTCAGGATGGCCTTGCTCTCACAGAGATCCACCTGTCTCTGCTTCCTGAGTGTTGAGATTAAAGGCATGTACCAGGGCCAATGTAAATTTTATACACATCATGAAGTGTAGTAGGGTTTCTTGATTCCAACATACTCCAAATGATTGCCTTTCTTTTCCTTTTCAGGTTTCTAAAGAAAAAGACAAACAAAAGCTGCCAAGAATTGCTGAAAAATAAGAAATGAGCAGAAAGAATTCTTATTGCACTTCATAAGGGTCACCGGTATGGCTTGGACATGAAGTGTACCCCAAGAGGCTCAGTGAAGGCTTATTCTAAGGCTGGTGGTACTATGGAGTGCTAATTGGATTGTAAGGATGCTTAACTCATCAGTAGACCAGCTGATGGGCTATTAGGAAGTAGAACCTAGTTGTAGGAAGTAGGTACCTGAAGGTGTGTGTATGTGTGTGTGAGATGGGACTATCTTTCTTGTCCCTGGCTCCTTTCTTTCAGTCTTACCTACTTCCTGGTTGCCTTGAGAACAGAGGCTTCCTCTCCACATGACTTTCTACCTTGCTCCAGGCCTAAAAACAATGTGGCCAGCTGATCACAAACAGAAATCTTTGAAACTGTGAGCCCCAAAAATCCTTTGTCAAGTTATTTTTCTCAAGTATTTGTCAAAGTGACAGATTATTAACAGTTATATATCCCAAGTAAAACAATGAGCAATATATGATTTTTTTAGTTGAGAAAAGTCAAAAACCACAATTTGTTGTAAAATAAAAACAAGCTTTGTTTTGTTCTTAATATTCTTTTACACACTGAAAAAGAATGGTTAGTTTTACACAGAGAGAATTCTTTAAGCATTATGTTTTGCCCCCAAATTGTAATTGTTAGGGTTCAGACATACAGCAGCCCTGCCCCCTCACCTAGAGGGACTCAGGGTTCCTCAAGCCCCTGAGAAAAGAACCTTGGTCTTTGAAGTCAAAAGTAGACTTTTCTCCACTGTTTGACCAACACAACAGGCTTCCCCTTTGATCTCTAAAGGAGGCAGGTTTTAACAGTCCTGCTCTCCTGCCCACCCCCGCCCCAGCCTAACCTTAAAAAAAATATATTTTCCCACCTTCTGCACCCCCCAGAAGCCTCCCCCTATAAAAGACCCCAGCTCACAACCCGGGGGCATTTTCCTACCCGGAAGGGAATCTGTCCCATGTGTTCCTTTGCTAATAAACTCTATTCTGCTGCTGGAGTTTTATCTGTGTCCTGGTGCTTTCCCAATCAATGGGATTCATCCATCGCCCACTTCATCTATCAGTAATGTGCCTGAAACTTGAAATTTATTTAAATTTGATAACAAGGGGCTAGAGAGATGGCTCAGAGATTAAGGACACACGCTGTTATTCCAGAGAACCCAGGGTTCAGTTCCCAGCACCCACATGGAAGCTCACAGTTCCAGGGAATCTGCTGCCATCTTTTGACTTCCACAGGTTTGTATGCATGTGGTGTACGTACATGCATTCACACAAAACACTCGTACGCATAAAATAAAAAATTCAAATTTTGATGATGAATAGAAATGATAAAAAACTATTAGAAATACGTTATTTAAAATACATTAAAATATTAAATATATAAAATACTGAACTTTGACATTACCATTAATGCATCACTTGAAATATATTTGTTATAAAATTTCACATTGATTTTAAATATTAAGAACTTTTTGCACCTAATTTCTAAATTAAAAATTAAATTGACATACAAACTTAATTGGCTTTCTATAGCTGCTAAATCTCCTTAGAGATGACAGTATCCGATTTGCTCCTTAAAACAAGCCTGTCAGGTGGTCATAGCAGACTTAGGAGGGTGGGGTTTCTCAGCTTCAATACTGCTGGTATTTGGAGTTGGAAAATTCTTTGTTGTGGGAGATTCCCTCTGCATTGAAGATGAGATGTTTAGGAGTATCCTGGGCCTCTACCCACTGGATGTCAGTACCACACATCCTCCAGGTACAACATCCCCAAATGTCTCCAGATATTGTTAAGTATCTTTTGAAGGGGCAAAACCTCTCCAGGTTGAGCACTTTTGGTATGGCTCCATGGTCATGTCATAAATGATAACACTGGGCTGAGAACCCAGATTTCTCAGGAACTCAGTGCAGAACTTTGGGATCTTGACCTTCCAGTCTTCTGGTCATCTTCTGTCATCAGAAACTTTCCAGAGGACAGAAAAACCCCAGACTCAGCTAATAGTTACATTCTTTTTTATTACATGAGCAAAATGTTACCCACCTATGCCACCTGAATAGTTCTCTCCTATTTTCTACACTTTTCTAAAGATTTTTAAAAATATAAAGTGCACAATGCAAACTTAATAAATACACAAACTGCTTTATTTGTTTTCACATACCGCTTTATAAAGTTAGCAAACAGTATCCGATGTGAGAATCCCAGCCTTCGAATTCTTGCTGTTTCCAAAATTCCTGTGCAGCGAAGCTGTAACAGAACTTTTTCTTTGTCATATTTTCTTGCCTGGCGCTCATTATTTGGCTTGATGCAACGGACAAAATGAGGCTGGCCTGCCACCATTTTAGATAACAAATCCATCAGGGAATACTATAATGCATAAGAGAAATCAATTTCATGTGGTATATGAGAACTTGTGAGCTTGTAGGCCTTTCTTTTGATTATAAGGATACAATTTAAAAAATCATGTTACAAATGCTCATCACAGGAAATGAAAGAACTGATGTAATGAGAAGCAATTTATCTATAAGTTATGGATTCAGTGATAAAAATATAGAGCCAATAAGCAGAAGGTTGGCTATTAAAAGTTTGCCTAGAAACTCTTAAGGCAGCCTTAATTAAGAGATGAATTTATTCTTGACATAGTTCCTAAGCAGTTATATTCTCTAAAGAAAACATACCAAATTACAATATTTAGAAACACTATCTGGGAGTAGTCTTTCTCTTTACAGAAAGTATAAAAAGTATATACTCTAATAACTATTGGAATAATCTACTTTAAAATCAGGATGTATATAAGAATAAGCAAGGTTGCCAGGTGTGGTGACGCACGCCTTTAATTCTAACACTCGTAAGGCAGAGGCAGGTGGATCTCTGTGAGACTGAGGCCAGCCCTGACTACATAGTGAGTTCCAGGCCACCCGGAGCTACAGAGAGACCCTGTCTCAAATGACAGCAAAGAATAAGCAAGGTGACATCCGTTTAAATATTTTTTGTGTGCTATAGTTTATATCTTGTTGATTGTAGGAGGATATTTTGTTAATATAGATATTAAGGCTATATTCTGCACCAGTACTTTATTAAAACAGTAGTCAATTACCAGGCAACTAAGAATAACATGATTATCACAGCTTACTAAAAGGGGAATCCCAGCAAATTAGTATGTAGAAGACTGGGACCAGAACTTACTGGTGAGGGAGTGCAGAAACAGCGTGGAGGACTGGGTCTGCTAGTGTCAGAAATGCAAACATCTAGAGCCTCCAAGCCAATGCAAACCAATTATTAAGATGAGGCTGCTGACAAGGCACTCCACTCGTATTCCTTCCTCTTGGCACTGGGCTCAGATGTGATCTTCCGAAACACCTGCCACTCTGCAGCTCTTCCATTACGCTTATCTGCATGTCATCATTCCTTCAGTCATGGGAACATCTGCCAGCACTGGGTGCAGAGGGGACCAACACTAGCTATCTGAGCCATTCAGGCAGTTGGAGCTTCTTAGGACTAAGGTATATCACAACCCTGATGCCATTCTTGTCTGCAGAATGAAAACTTGCTTTGAGAAAGCATTGCATGTCATGTGGAATTATTTTCTGATATGTTTTACTCTGCCTGAAGGTTGAATTGATTTTGTGAACTGATCTGGCTTGAACATATATGGTGTCTGATGCTAACAGCAGTCGTATAGTAATGGCCTGGACAAGTCACTTAAAAAAGAAACTAATCAGGCTCTGCATATGTTTGTTTCATACATGCTGAGTATGTTTGTTTCATACGTGCTGCCTTCCTGGTGAAAGTGACTGTATCAGCAGCAGACACAGATGTCAAGTATATAATAAATGTAGCAGGTAGGATTTGGCACAGTCTACTATGAGTTTAGGATTATGAGAACGTGTTACACAAGTATTCAGATTGTTTGAAAAGTAGTTCATGATTCCACTAGAGAAGTGGATATATTCATTGAATACCAATTTTAAATTTGATCCTATTTCATCTCTGTCTTCCATATTAACTTATATTATTAATAATTTCCAAGTTTTAGGTGGCATTTTCTTCGTTTTACTGGCTGGCTAATTTGATTTTATTGGAGGAGATAAACAAGAACTGGAATGACTAATAACAAAGGTTACTTAGAGTTATTCAGTACACAGAGAAAATAAAGTAATTCTTCCTTTCCTTTCTCCTGTATAATCCACAGGAAGGCCAGCTTGGTCCCATGCCCTGGCATGTGTCCCTTCTCTGCCCCAACCCTGTACTAGGCTGTCTTTCCTGCTGAAGATGTCAGTCTATGGGTTAGAGAAGCATGCTCAACCTTACCCCATCTGTCCCTCCTAAGCCCATTCAGGAGCACTCATTAAAAACCCTTTCATTTTTCATTCTAGTGGAAATGCATTTGGTAGTATGGACACATTTTTTGTTTGTTTTTTCTGAGATGGATTTCACTATGTGGCCCTGGCTGGCCTGGAGCTCCCTGGTCCAACTCATAGAGATCTGCCTGCTTCTGCCTCTGGAGTGCTAGGATTAAATGTGTATACCATCATGCCTGGCTTGCATGGACAAGGTTTAATCAAGTAACGATTTCTGCTGTGATTGTCACGGGCATGCTATTTTTACAGGTAAAATATCAAAGTAAACCAATCTATAGACTTTTGAAAGTACATTCTAACATATCTTGTACATGGCGTATAGTTAACGGGATACAGTAAACATTCTTTTTGGCCAGTGGTAGTCTGGTGTTACCTGGTGTTACTGCTTTTTTACTGTAACTCATTTAGAATGAACAACTACTGTAAATATAACACATCATAATTTAATATCTTACTCTGAAATATGATGCAACTGTTTGTGTTTTCATGTTGGTGGTTTCACAGGCAGGACGTGTAGCATCTCCAATTTCACCCTAAGAAGACCAGGGGAGACAATGAGACTGCAGTACCTCCTGTACGTTAAGATCTACAAGGAGCACGAGGTATTTTACATCAGGCTATCTCAGTCTAGGCATTTAGATACATAAAGCCACAAAATATTTTTGATATTCATAATTTAAATTGATTGTTATTTGCACTGGTATTTTGGCTGGTCTTGTGTAGAACGTGACTGTTACCCACCCTGGTAGTTGGGAATACACCATAAAGGCCTGATTGTTTCAGCTAGTAGGAGCAAAGCATCATAACAGATATATCTGCTTATAGAAAAGAAAAACCAAGGGAAGAAAAGCTGAAGCTCACTTTACCAGCAGAAATATTGCCATAAGCTTGGTCTAACTTGCTGCTGGGGAAAAGCATCTTCTTACCTTCATCAGGTTGGCTGATTTTTCTGAACTCCTCATTTGGTAGTTTATTATATTTTTTGTTTTAGACAGTGGCAGGTTGCCTATGGGAATGTAGATAAAATTAATTTACCTTTTAGAATTCTTAATGGTTAGACAATTTCCCCCATTTATTTAAAATAAATATATTAAGGCTTAGAAGTTGGTTACCTATTTATTGAGGCAAAGATAAAAAATACTGTGTTTTACAATAAATGTTTTCTTATTTTTCCTTCTCCTCTTCCTCCTCCTCCTCCTCTTCCTCCTCCTTCTCCCCCTACTCTAAAATATGATGCGACTGTTTGAGTTTTCATGTTGGTGGTTTCACAGGCAGGACGTGTAGCATCTCCAATTTCACCCTAAGAAGACCGGGGGAGACCTTCTCTTCCTCTTCCTCCTCCTCTTCCTCTTCTTCCTTCATCACTACTTCTTCTTTCTCTTCTTTTTTGAAAGAGGATCTTGCTATATAGTCTAGCATGGCCTCACACTCATAACAATATTCCTGGTTTAACCTCTTTAATTCTGGGATTACAGGCATGTACCACCCAGTTACCACAAATTTTACACTCAGAAAAGGAGAAAGAGAAACCAAACTTTCTAGCTTGGGAAAATAGGAAAGGTAGAGGTAACCATTAGATTTCCTTGCAATCACAAAAACAATATGAGCTGATCACAACGAAGGAAGCAACTTGCTCTTGTGTGTGTGTAAGTGGCTTCTGTGTTCTTTTTTTTTAAAACTATTTGTTTTTATTTTATATGTGTGAGTGTTTTGCCTGCATGCATATAAATGCGCCTTATGTACAATGCCAAGGGAGGCAAGAAGAGGACATTAGAGCCTCTGGAACTGGAGTTATAGATGGTTGTTATAGATGGGTGCTGGGAACAAAACCCAGGTTGTCTGCAAGAGCAGCCTGTGCTCTTAACTGCTGAGCTCCTTGTACAATTTTCTTTAACTCAGACTGGGCATTACAGTGAGCCCTAAAAGTCATACAGATCACTGATTCACATGAGGTGCTTTTAGCAAGTCAAGTGTGACTGAAAGAAACAGGCATTTTCTTTCTTTCTTTCTTTTTTTTTTAATAAAATAATTTAAAAATACTTTATTATTTTTATTCTATGTGTACAAGCGTATTGCCTGCATGTATGTGAGTGCACCCATGTCGTGCAATGCCACAGAGGTCAGAAGAGGGCTTCAGATTCTCCTGGAGCTGGAGTGAAGGATGGTTCGTAGCCACCATGTGGGTGCTGGGAATTGAACCCAGGTCCTCTGCAAGAAGAGTCAGTGCACTTAACCACTGAGCCATCTCTCCAGCGTTCCCTTTGTTTTATTTTGTCTTACTGGGAAACTGAAAAGCTATTGATGTTGTAAGAATCAAGGGCATATTCATCGTGTTCAAAATTGTAGACCATGACTGGGGCTGGCTGAAAGTTGGACACAGGGTTGCTCTGCTCAACAGAAAAGGTGAAACTGATTACTGTGTTAGACACATTTTCCAAGTAGAGAAGAACATGGTCATTCTTCATGTTGGTCTTCATTACGGGGCCATTGTTTTTAAGCTCCTCAATGGACGACAGGACTGGAGTAAACCCTGAGAGCATTTTTACATCCACGAGGACCATATTGGAGCTATTATGAGTTCCAGCATATGTGAGAGTCACCGTGAGGTTAAACTTAGTTTGGAATATGTCTGAAGAGTTGCTCTTTACCATTTCCACAGAAAGGGAAAATCCAGATACTTTCTTAGGTAGTGGCACATTGTACCTGAGGATAGCCTGGATAAACGTGCAGCCTTGTCCTTCCACTTCCACTGTGTACTGCCCACATCCTTCAGATAATTTTGAACGCTGTACCAAAAGGCGATTATCACTTTTAACTGAGAAAATCTCCTGGAATTCCTCAGTTCTCAAGGTGACTGTGCTTTGAACATTAGAGCCAGTTAATTTCATGTAGCATGTCAGGGCGAGAAGGCAGACTGTGGTGTCCTGGGAAATGACAGCCAACAGCACATAGCAAGTCTTCTCAGTCTCTCCAGAAAGTGCTGAAGGAATGAAGGATGGGTGTTCTTCTGTCTTGGATTTTGTTTCTCTTTCCCAATAGATCACATTATTTATTTTTATAGCAGATTGATCCAGGATCTGGAGCAAGGATTTCACCTGCCATTCTTTCCCAGTTAAGGCAAAAACATACGCCAGAACAGCACGAGTATAGCTATGAGTAACACCACTTGCAAATGCCTCCTCCAGGAGGAGAGCAGGAAGAGTGAAATTGAGCCCAGCTTCAAGGAAGGCTGTGACGACATAAGCAGTAAGTACCACTTCCTCTTCATCTCCACCCTCCCAAGCATTGTTGACAAGCTTGTTGCCCCTTCTAAAGCATCCATTTGATCTCTGCTTGCTTGAAAGCCAGATTAAAGTCTGTTTTGGGACTGTGTCTTCAATGAGTATATATTCCTTCATTCTCTCTAGTGTCTTGAAAGTAAGGGCACTGAGCCATATGCTTCCTTTCTGATTCATCTGGCAAAACATGCTGTATGAACCATCAGAGTTTTTGAAAGTCAAGTGCTTCTGATAGCCATTAGATAGGAGAAGCAGAGCCTTAGACTTCACTTCCTCCGTCAGCTGTTCAGTAGCTCTCAGGTAGTCGAGAACATAGGCATCAGAAGCTAGTTGGGCAATATTCTGCACGCCACACCCATAAGGCATTTGGAGAAGGCTCTCCAGATTCTGCATTGCAACTCCAAGGATGTCCCCTACAACGGTGACCTTTTAGTCAAGGTCTCCCTGTTACTGCAGCTAACCTGGAACTTTTTATGTAGACCAGGCTGGTCTTGACCTCACAGAAATAAGCCTGCCTCTGTCTCCTGAGTGTTGGGATTAAAGGTGTGTACCAGCGTGTTTGGCTAATGAGCGGCATTTTTCAATCCAACATTTGGCTGTATACTTCATACACAGTTCAAGTCAGTGGTTATGCTATACTGAAGCAGTCAAGGTCTTGGAAAGCCAGAAAGGCTTGGGTTTGAATTGTTGCTATTGCCCTTATGTTAAGTTGCCATGGGGTCATTTACATGGCTTCTGATCTATAATTTGAATACTTAAATAGGGACAATAATGCTTACCTTACAGCCTTTTAATAAAATGTAATAATATGCATGGCATACAAAAACAGTATAGAACCAGACTTTTACATATATCCACTTAATGTAGCAAAGGAATTCAAAGGAAAAAGGATAACATTTTCAACAAATGATGCAATGTTAGAACAATTGGAGAAGGGTCAGGGGGCAGAAAGGGGGAGATCACAGGGGTTGTGAGGAACTTCACATGTTCTAGGAATATGCTTATTGCTAGTTATGGGGATAGTTGCATGATGTCCCTATAGAGGTGGAAGCACTAAATTTTACTGGTTAAATATTTCAGTTTTCCCTCAATAAAACTATTAAAAGGTATACAGAATAATTTTAAACTCCAATATAAACAACCCAAGCAATCTATTTTTCCCTACATAAATGAAAATAAAGATATGTATTCATGGGGTGTGAAATGATGAAATTTTAATCATTAGATAGCTCACTGAACTTGGAGACCACAGGGACCATCGAAACACTGTGGTTTCTGAAAACACTCTCCTCCTTTTGAGTAGAGTAAAAATTTCAGGTGAGAAGCTAGGACACTACCACATTTGAGCACCTCAAATACGTACTTTAGCAAAAGCCTAACTTCTCTGCATTCATTTTTATGCCTTCCTCAGATTAGGGATAAATGAATATTTACTGAATTGAAAATAAACAAACATGAAAATTTGAGGACTGTAGTCATGAAAATTACAGCGATATAAACTGCTTGGTGGGGCTATAAGGAATCTTGTCATTGTTAACTGCCTTACCTGTTTTGGTCAGAGGGTGATTGACAAGTTGCCGTATTACACTGTTTTCTGATGACCTCAAAAGCAGCACAATATCAGTTGGAAGAGTGTCTCTGTTTTTAGCCAAGAAGCCACTTGCACTGTAAAGGACCTGTTGAGAGAGGGCATCACAGTGGTTATCGAAGGTGGCACCATCACTGTTGTATCAGTCACTTTTCTGTTGCTGTGATAGAAACACTGACCCAAGCAATTTATAGAAGGAAGAGTTTATTTGAGCTTATGGTTCCAGGGGAATTATAGTCTGTCATGGCGGGGAGGCATGGTGGCCAGAGATGGCTGAAGCAGAAGCAGAAGCTAAGATCTACATCTTCAAGTAGGCACAGGAAGCAAGAGAGCAACTGAAGATCTGGCAAGGCTTAAGAACTCTCTAAGCCCACCTCCAGTGACATGCTTCCTTCAGGAGCCATACCTTCTAAAACCTCCCAAAACAGCACCACCATCTGGGGACAAAATGTCCAAATACTTGGAGCCTATGGGGGACGTTTTCATTCAAACACCACAACTGTGGTCTTCATTCTTAATCAATGCTTACAGAGAGCATAGTCTGCATCGAGCACCAGTCACACAAGGTCACACACCTAATTCCTTACAGCTTGGGAGTTTTATATGCTCATTTTCTTTCTGGAGGGATGGGAAGCACAAATGAGCCATCTTGTTTCTCTGAAAATTGGTTTACCTGTATTGAATTGGGTATGACAGGCTTTATGTAAGTAATAATGGAGTCTGAACACTGTGGGTTTATGTTTTTGGCACTTCTAAATCATTTTAAAGACATTTAAAAGAGGAATGTAATCCAAAGACTTCTGCTAGATGATCACCCTTCCACCATTCATATTAACAATGTCCTGTGTTCACACAAAGAGACCATGTGAGGGCTGGGGAAGCTGGCATCTCTCCACAAGCTAGGAGAAGACTCTTCATCAGACACCAAGCCTGCTCTAGGACAACTTGATCTCAAACTTCCAGACTATAGAATGGTAATAATAAGTTTCTATTGTTTGAGCACCCAGTCTGAGGTATTCTTGTTACGAACTAAAGCATTCGTTAAAAACAACTGGACAAAACAGTCATAGATAATTCTTAATTGATGGTTAAAGCAGGCTTTATTCAGTAGCTCAAATGCTAAGATTCACGGATGGCTATGGCCGAAATGTCTTATGGTATTTTTAATGACAGAAGCCAGTGGGTATAACCTGGCCCGTGGAGGCTCCGAAGTGGATTCAAATACTGGGGGTTCTCAACTGGTTTATTTTTAACATTGTTCTCATTTTATACATTCTCTCTTGAGTTAAATGACTTTGAAAATGACTCATTATTCTCCACATAAGGGAAGAGTATCCCCTGGGTGTAAGACAACGTACTTGAGGCTTGCTTGGATCTGTGGCTGTGTCTCAACCAATATATGAATGTTTGTCTAACTGAAAGACAGTCCATTGGTCAACCCCACACATTTGGGTTAGATCTAGCTGACCATGTCTCCAGCATCTTTTCTTATTTGGAGCAAGGAAAAAAAATGGAGAGAGAGAGAGAGAGAGAGAGAGAGAGAGAGAGAGAGAGAGATAGAGAAGAGAAGAGGCAGAGAAGAGAGAGGAAAGGAGGGAGGGAGGGAGAATATCATTAATTGACAGAAGGCTAAAGAAATAGTTATGGTTTTTGTAATTTCTTACTTTTCCTGCATAATGGTGAATTCCAAAACTAAGCTCCAATCTTTTGGGCCTCCAGAAGTACTGCGATTTCAGGTTAACTTCAAATTTTTCTGCAAAATAAAAAGAAAAGAAAACAGCCTGAATGAAAACAGCAGACTCTTAGCATCTATTTTAGACAAAACGGGACCTAAACTGCTCTGATCATGCTTCTTCAGATTGCTCCCTAACTAGGCCCTGCTCTTTCTTTTATTGAAACACTATCTGCAATATGAAATAGGGAAGCAAAAGTGGACCCTCATGAGAAGGATTGTTTCCCTTCTGACCCCTGCTGACACACAGAGTCACAGACACAGACACAGACACAGGCACACGCACACACACACACACACACACACACACACACACACACACACACACAGATGTTAACAGTTTAATCCTGCCTGCTGTTTGCAGCACCATTTGTTATGTGAAACATATATAGCACATTCCTGCATTGTCCTGGGTCAAGGGTGAGGAAGGGTCATTAGCTCTATGCTTAAGTTACAGGAGGAGCTCAAAGCTCAGTGAGCTTGGATATTATAAAGGAGTTAAGTTTAACTTTTTGGTTGCAAGGTTGAGTAAAAGCCCTTTGCCCCACGTATGTCCATCCTGTCGAAGTCATCAACATAAGGAAGCAGAAATCCAGTCTCTAATCCTGTTAAATTCATCACTAAGAATTTATCACAGGTTCAGGGATTAGGCTAAAGTCACCTCTTGAAAGTCTGATACTTCAGGCTTTTGTCAGATGCTTTCCCCTAGATAATTTAAAAATCATTCCAACTTACATAAGGTATTCATAAGACCGTACAGGCACGCCAGGCTTAAAACTCACCTATCAGAGTCTGGTCAGTGGCCTTGGGAAATCTACTTTCTTCATCCAGCAGAGACAATAATCCCATTGGTTTCTGCAGAAACAGATCTAAGAGCGGCCGGTTGTCTTCATACTCGATAACTCTAGCATCCACATCTTCATTTAGGTATTCATTCTACAACAGGTCATTATGCAAAAGAAAAAGAAATCACTTAAAACTGTGAACAATATACATCTTGATAGTAATTACCTTAATTTCTACTTTACATATATAATAAATTGCAGTCTCTGACATTGCTTAAACTGAGGGTATCATTTTAGTTTTCTTTTTGCAGAACAGCTAGTTTATTAAAAGTCAGCACTGATTATACTCAGGATAGTAATAAAAGGATTTCCAGTCTCCTAGAATTACAGATATTTGAAGTCTTCATGATGCATAAAAATATGTCATTAATGAACTTGTACAGCCATGCCTTAGAATTTCTAGACTTGAGCTATACAGATTCTAGGGTTTTGCTTTCCCCAATGTCTCTAAGAATACTCACATAATGTGTAGTCATGAATTCAGACATTTGCATTGCTAGCAGGATGGACAGCAGTAGGTGATGGGAACAATAAGCGGATTCAGAACAAAGGCCACCCAGACCCACATCTGGGCTCCACTACTTCACCAGCCATATAACGCTTTGGAAGCAAGTCTTCTACTCTGAAGATTTCCCTTCTTGAACAAAATGCGAGATAGAAGAGACCTCCCATAGAGCAAATAACATGCCATATAGCACTCATCAAAGAAATTTCTTTTTGCAACAGGTGGAGGCTACCACAGAGTTGCACATCTGGTCAGCCATAGAGAACATATACCTGGGAGATGCACAGTACTAGGTAACAGATCTGCAGTGAAACTCCTACAACCAAAGCTCATTGAACATAGTGGAATAAGGGGCAGAGAGAGGGCTAATGCACCCCTCAACTCTCACCAGTAAGGCTTCCATGTACATCAGAGTGCGTTACACACAGAAGGCCTCAACTAGCCAAGTTTTGGAGAATAAGAGACTGCAGAGTGTAGAATGGGACTCCTTTATAGAACCTCAACCACCCATGGCTCAGGAACCATTGTGGAAGAGGAGGTGGAAAGATTCTAAGAGCCAGGGCTGGTTCATGAACATATGAGGTGGAGGCTTCCAGGCCAATGGAGGCTTGCTCATGTGCAGCTGTGGCAGTGATGGCATCCAACTTGGGACCCATGTCAGCTCAATTAAACAAGGGCCCAAAGGGGAGGTGAGAAATATGTGGTAGGTCAGCACTAGATTGAGAACTATTTGAGACTGATTGCTGCTGAGTGAGGGAGAGTATGACTTACATATGACCACTGACTAGACTCCAGTGGACACATTTACAGTGAAGGGCATTTGGGTACAAACACCTGAGTGAATAAGACTCAGCATGTATGGCAGAGTGCATAGGGTTTGGTGTGTGTGGGGGGCATGGATGGGGGAGGGGGTCTGGATGTGAGTGGGAAATATTGTATGAAATTTTAAAAGCTCAATAAAAAGTTTCTTTTAAAATAAAGATAGCCCTTCTTACCTATTAAACCATCTCACAAAATGAAGATATCATACATTGATAAAAATTTGCTTGTGAGTGCATCATAGGTAGGACATGTGAAATAACCACAGATGACCATGAGCCACAGATAAAGCATGCAGAACATGGTCGCAACACAACACAGATGCTGATGATCCACATTGGAAAAGGGACACAGACTAAGTACTTGTGTCCCTGACTCTGCTTTTGCACTACACCCCGACCCTGTGACTTACTATTGTCACCTCTGTGTAGGAGACTCAGAGGTTTTCAGGTGATAAGGCAAACAGTACTTTTAGGGAAGCATACGGAGTAACTGCATACTGTATACTAGGCATGGGCATGTCCTGTGTCATTTGCACATGAAAATTCCAGGTTGTCATCATGATTGTTTCAGTATATTCTTTATTTCATGAAATGTATTTATTGAATACCTTGCATCAAGGGCCTGTAATGCACAGTAAGGAGATGTTTAAAACAAGTTGCCATCTCTGAGGATTTGGTATATAATTTGGATGATAAGGTAAGATAACACATGATCGATGACAGGTATGATACAAGAGTTTAGAGTAAAAAACTTATTTCTGGAAACTTTAGAATTTATTCAGTGATAGGTGGGGTATTTGATATCTGAAACTTTTAGGCAATATGAAAAAAGCTTTGTGAAACTGAAACCATATTTCAAGTATGTTACAAGGAAAAATAAATGTATTTAAAATTTTTATTATATGCATAT